AATGTACTGAATAACTAATGAAAGTAGAAAAAATCGCAATTAGTATTTGATATGTACCTGCATACATCTTCACCAAGGGAATAAAAAGTTTTGTCATTGTTTGTCCTTCTTCTTTAAGTAACATCGATGAGAGTTGACCTTCTCAAATATCAAGTGAGCTTTTGATTGTTTTAAAATACATATGTACGTGGAGTAATTAGTTCGTTTATCTGATTAGTATCAGTATGTGAAATGTTAAGGGTGCTATGTTGAAAGTAGCGCCCAACCTGTGAAAATAATTGTATTGAAGTGTTCAGCTGTTTTACCTTTTAATGGTACTTTCTTGAAACATGATTTGAAACAGTAGTTTTATTAAGACTTACAGTAATTTTAGATCCCATACAATGAAGGGGACACAGGGAGAGAGAGCTATCGTCAAGTTTCAATTTAAATGCCTTTTTTAATTTCCTTGAGTATGTATTAAGTGAAAAAGTGTGTCGGTCTCTCTATTTGGATTAATGTTCCGAATGGCTTAACCGATTTCGATATGACTTTACAAACATGAAGAGGAAATTGTTTACGTAAAATTGCACCTATTCACTTTAAACAATTAGAAAAAGTTTCACGTGAACGAAGTGGTAAAAAGTAGCCTTAAATATAATGTTTTTCTTCAAAAACAAATTAAATTCATGTGTAATTATTGTGGGGAAAAACAGNGAAGGTACCGCGCGAGGTTGGATTACGCTGGATTCTTATGCGCTGTAACACGCGTGAACCTCCGATACCGTGCGAGGTTACGTTTCGCTGGATTCTTATACGCTGGACCGCGCGAGATGGTAATCTTATGTTCTGATATCGCACGGCCTCGGAGATTTACGAGTTGTGCCATAGGTAAATCTTTAGTACCGAGCAAGTAAATCGTATGATGATCGATATGTACGCACACGAAGGTACCGCGCGAGGTTGGATTACGCTGGATTCTTATGCGCTGTAACACGCGTGAACCTCCGATACCATGCGAGGTTGCGTTTCGCTGGATTCTTATGCGCTGGACCGCGCGAGATGGTAATATTATGTTCTGATATCGCACGGCCTCAGAGATTTACGAGTTGTGCCATGGGTAAATCTTTAGTAGCGAGCACGTAAATCGTATGATGATCGATATGTACGCACACGAAGGTACCGCGCGAGGTTGGATTACGCTGGATTCTTATGCGCTGTAACACGCGTGAACCTCCGATATCGTGCGAGGTTGCGTTTCGCTGGATTCTTATGCGCTGGACCGCTCGAGATTGTAATCGTATGTTTTGATAGCATCGCGCGACGTTGTAGTTTTACGAATTTTTTGTTAAATTCTACGGTTAAAGACTAATATGTAGAAACTTACTTTGATAGGTGGTCTAGATCTAAGGTAAATGAATGATATAGTAAGTACTTCTAATTGATACCAAGATATCATTTGAAGTGATTCAAATGAGGACTTTCAACTACAAAACTGATAAACAGCGCAACTAATTTGCATAAAAAACCGCAAAAAATGTTATCGCAAGTGTGTTATGACTTTTGTAGAGACAAACTAAGTGACGGTGAAAACAAGGCTCAATTGCTTGTGATTAAATTAATTCTGCTTGGTTAGTGTCAATTATAAAAGTAATACGCTTTATTGTGTCTTGTTAACTTTAACACATTTGTATTGATCGTAACATACAGGGTGTTTGCTTTATTTCAGCACATACGCCCGATACTAATAATAATTTCAGAAACAATTGCTAAAAATTAATGATCAACTCATTTTTAGTGTTTTTAAATATGCCCTTTTCTATTGTTTCTCGAAATATTCAGTTGTTTCGAGTGGATACAATAAAATAATTGTTCGCTTCTTCGTTAAGTTTTAAAAATAAAAATAAACTGGATGTTTACAAGCAAATGTTAATGACCTTTAACTTGCCAGAAATAATATGTATAGTTAGCAAATAGGAGATAAACAAATGGTACAAAATACAGTGCAAAACACTGTTATTATATAATGCCATGAAGCTGAAGCACGCGAGCTATTTTTTAGCCGATGCATATTTTTGTCCATTTTGATTAGATACAACACGTATATGTAAGTGTATGTAATCAATTTATTATAACTATAAGTATGTGACAATCTTTTGGTTTTGACTAAGTTCTAATTTTTCTAATGATCATGCAATGAAATACAGGGTGCATTCGTACAATTCTGGAGTATATGTAAGATACTTTAGTACATAAGAATTATCGTAATCTAATATACATGGACATAAATATCCAGTGGCTAGCGAATAACATGTTGTTTTGTTAGTATGTTTGCAAACAATTTTATATCTATTATTGCAAAGTATTCGTTTAGTTATTAAACAAATAATATTGACATTCTTTTATTATATGTATAACTCAACATTTTTTATCGCCAGTTAGTGTATAATTATTTTATTTTTAATTAAAAACTGAAATTTGTAGGAAAGAATGTCGGCCCTAATCGTCAATCAGTGCAAAGCTGAATTTATACGTAGTGCCATTAGTGAACCGTATGATGATAGATATGTACGCACGCGAAGGTACCGCGCGAGGTTGGATTACGCTGGATTCTTATGCGCTGTAACACGCGTGAACCTCCAATACCGTGCGAGGTTACGTTTCGCTGGATTCTTATACGCTGGACCGCGCGAGATGGTAATCTTATGTTCTGATATCGCACGGCCCCGGAGATTTACGAGTTGTGCCATAGGTAAATCTTTAGTACCGAGCAAGTAAATCGTATGATGATCGATATGTACGCACACGAAGGTACCGCGCGAGGTTGGATTACGCTGGATTCTTATGCGCTGTAACACGCGTGAACCTCCGATACCATGCGAGGTTGCGTTTCGCTGGATTCTTATGCGCTGGACCGCGCGAGATGGTAATATTATGTTCTGATATCGCACGGCCTCAGAGATTTACGAGTTGTGCCATGGGTAAATCTTTAGTAGCGAGCACGTAAATCGTATGATGATCGATATGTACGCACACGAAGGTACCGCGCGAGGTTGGATTACGCTGGATTCTTATGCGCTGTAACACGCGTGAACCTCCGATATCGTGCGAGGTTGCGTTTCGCTGGATTCTTATGCGCTGGACCGCTCGAGATTGTAATCGTATGTTTTGATAGCATCGCGCGACGTTGTAGTTTTACGAATTTTTTGTTAAATTCTACGGTTAAAGACTAATATGTAGAAACTTACTTTGATAGGTGGTCTAGATCTAAGGTAAATGAATGATATAGTAAGTACTTCTAATTGATACCAAGATATCATTTGAAGTGATTCAAATGAGGACTTTCAACTACAAAACTGATAAACAGCGCAACTAATTTGCATAAAAAACCGCAAAAAATGTTATCGCAAGTGTGTTATGACTTTTGTAGAGACAAACTAAGTGACGGTGAAAACAAGGCTCAATTGCTTGTGATTAAATTAATTCTGCTTGGTTAGTGTCAATTATAAAAGTAATACGCTTTATTGTGTCTTGTTAACTTTAACACATTTGTATTGATCGTAACATACAGGGTGTTTGCTTTATTTCAGCACATACGCCCGATACTAATAATAATTTCAGAAACAATTGCTAAAAATTAATGATCAACTCATTTTTAGTGTTTTTAAATATGCCCTTTTCTATTGTTTCTCGAAATATTCAGTTGTTTCGAGTGGATACAATAAAATAATTGTTCGCTTCTTCGTTAAGTTTTAAAAATAAAAATAAACTGGATGTTTACAAGCAAATGTTAATGACCTTTAACTTGCCAGAAATAATATGTATAGTTAGCAAATAGGAGATAAACAAATGGTACAAAATACAGTGCAAAACACTGTTATTATATAATGCCATGAAGCTGAAGCACGCGAGCTATTTTTTAGCCGATGCATATTTTTGTCCATTTTGATTAGATACAACACGTATATGTAAGTGTATGTAATCAATTTATTATAACTATTCAATATCTAAATTTATAATTAGTGGAAAAATACCTAGTGAAAATTAACATGATTGGCAGCACCAGTTCTTTTTAAAACCTTTCTGAAGGTGTTTGAAGCATCCTATTCCTTAGTTGGGTTGTGTGGAGTGATATCTATCATGGGTTTCAGTTAGCCCTCCCTCGAGGATTTTTTGATTGATAAATACGTAAAATGCTTTGCATCAAGGATTTAGGTTAGGTTTTGGTACGGGGGACCTTCATCATCATCATCATAAGGTCGTCAGTCCTAAGATTGGTTGGGCATGAACCTCCACTCTTTCCTATCTTGAGGTAATCTTCGCATTTCCCTAAAACTAGAATAATCCACACCCTTAACTATTTGCGAACAGTAATCTAATCTAGGCTTACCTTTACCCCTCCTAATTCCCGTTTCTGCCTCTTATATGTCTCTGACTAGACCTTCATGTCTGAGAAGGTGTCCTACCAACCTATCTCGCCTATTCGTTATTGACTTCCATAGAGTCTTCTGTTCTCGTATTCTATCTAATACCTTTTTTATAGCATATATTAACATCTATAACACTGCTATATCATCTGCAAATCTAAGCATACTAATCTTTTGCCTTTGCACATCTATCCCTACAGTTGTACTGTCTTTAATGATGTTGATGGCGTCTTCGATGTACAGATTAAAAAGTAGCGGTGACAGTGTGCATCCCTGTCTGACTCCCTTCCTAATATTTACTTCTCTACGTTGCAGTCCCAGCTCTATAACTGCCTGTTGCTCTTTATAAAAACTAAGTATCACTCCTCTATCTCTGTAACTCATCCCTACATTTTTAAGTATATTTAACATTGTCAAAATCTTTTTCTAAATTTACAAATAGTATGTACGCACTCTTTCCTTTTTCTATTGTTTTCTCCATTGTTACCTCCCGAACCTCAAATTGATCTTCCCCTAGTAGTCCTTCCACCGTATCGTCCAAATTTAGACGGGTTTAATCAGTTTCTTGTCATAATGAGCATGTTATGTACAATATCACTCAATTGTATGTGATATAAGGTCTAAATACATACATAAATTCAATCAAGTCAAGTGACCCAAACCTAAACATTCCTTGGCTGGCCACGAACCATCTGCATGCTAAACAGAAGCGGGAGTAGTTATTTTTAAAAGTTTTTGGTCTTCGTTTGTGAAACACCATCAGTGACTGGCCCTGATAGCCGGGAAAGCTAATCGACGAGCAACGCTTCTTTAAATAAAATATAAATAACATAATATCGTCGTGTTAACGATGCACTTGATGTTTATATGTACATTGAGTGGATTTACTGAATGAAATTGATTGTTTATTAATCATTTTAAATGTGGAAAATTTGTTAAACGAAGTGAAATTAAATATATTTAAGTTAATTAATAGGATTACCGTTTTGCAAGAAAGTTTCCTCCTATGAAAATTAAAATAGTAAGTATCCACTAAGTATAAGATGTGTAGTAATGTTAGAACCATACATGGGGCAAAAATACTCTATACATAAATAACAATTCGTACTTAAAGGAGAATAACTATTACTAACTAATTACTATAACTAATATGCAATTGATGCAGTTTAAAATGATTCATTTTAGTCATGGTTTGAATTATTGATTTCTCTGGTTTGCTGTACCAAATTCTATCATAATTTAATTATAATAAAAATTTGAATTTTTTCTATAATGTTTATTCATTTATTGGTAAGGTCATTTCGGCCTATTTTGAAGTGCATTTAATTCCAAACTCTTAATTAAAATAGAGTTGCAAGAATGGTATTACATTCACGTAAAGTGAAATCTTGTTAAGAGCAAGTACCTATACTACACGAATCAAAAATAAATGACCTTTTGACTGCTGCTTCGACTCTTAATGTTGTTTTTTGAGTTGCGATTGCCAACAAATGCTAACGGTGTTGTCATAAGACTTCATTTGATGGTTCAATTTTCCTTAAGGATATACCCAATTAATCAATAGTAAGGTTTTTTTGATATTTAGATTTAATTTGGATATTTGAACGTGTCGGATATCATGGCTCAATACAATATTAAAAGAAGATTTTATTTTTATTTTTAGCTGGACGTCTGGCATGTCAGCAACATCAGACCAAGGAAAGTGCGGTTTGAGTTCACTGTTTCCTATGTCGTGTAGGGATCGAGCGGAAGCATTCGCCAGGCATCTTCACTCCCGTCTGCGATCTTTAGGGACCGAAGATGTACACAGCGCCACAAACGAAGCCACGTGGCTGACCGCACACGAAAACGCAGTGGCCATCGCCCAACCGCGACATGTGACTGAAAACAACCTCTATCTGAATTTGGAACTTCTGGAGTCCCCCGGAAGTCCAGAAGAAGAAATATCGCACAAGGAACTAACCAAATTCTTCACCAACAGTCGGGACAATTTGGGATATTCGGCACTCGGCAAAAAGAAGATCACAAATGGCGATATAACGAAATTGGAAACGGGAATAAATAATCTATCCCAGGATAGTGACGATTTGCCTTACTTTGATACTGAAGATAAACCAAACGAAAGAAATAGTTGTGTAGCTAATGGACACTGTGATTCTTTACCAAAGGAGGAAGAAGATTCTCAACAAGAAGGCCCATCATTAGAACACCTTAATTGCACGGGCGAAGAAAATAACATTTCGAAAATAGAAAATGATGAGGCACAAGTGCTATCGACTAGTGACGACAGTTTTGACATTTCGAGCACGAGTCTTAAGGCCGAAGAAGAAATGAGTCCGAAAGATGACGACGAAAGTCTTTTCTTAGAATCATCTACCTGTACTGAAGATTTCAAAAGTCCCTCTGAAGAAGTATCAGAACATTTCGAATTTAACGTTCCGTGCCAACAAAAAAACCAATTACACGAATCAAACAGTTTAGTAGTAGTACGAGTTGAACCCACGAATGTGATAGACAGTAAGTGCCATGAACCTAGAAATGTAGATAAAGATGCAGAAAAATTATCGACAAGTATTACCGAAAGGCGAGATATGCCTCTCTTGTCGATAGCCGCTAACGGAAACAATAGTGAGACATTGCCTTCTTCCTCTGCTTCTGAACTAGTTTGTCTTTGCAAGAAAACAGACGTAACAATAAGTTTGTCCGAGAATGACAACAAGAATAAATGCCAACAAGTTGTATCTGAAGAGATTGAAAACAAAGCCTGCTCAAATGATAACCCCGATTCAACAAAGTACAGTAGTTTTTTAACCATAGATAAAGGTTTATCGCTTGAATGTTCAATAAATGCTTTAAGCGATACAACTGATGGCTCGTCACCACAAACAACACACGAAGTGCAAGCCCTCTTGCATGATATTGCAACTACGCCATCGACCGAAGAAGATAGCGAAGAAAAAGATGTCAGAATACCAAGGGTTCGAAGATGCTCGTCGTTAAAAACTGGGAAAACTCCGCCTGGGACGCCGGGCAGAAAGAAAATAGTCCGGTTCGCGGACGTTTTGGGCTTAGACCTGGCAGATGTACGAACGTTTTTGGATGAAATACCGAAAATTCCGGTTTCTGCGTACGAAGACCTAAAAGACGCTGAGTTCAATTCGGTTCCACAATCCGTAATACAGTCCACATTAGGATACACAGTGGCGTCGGTCGCTCAACCCGATAGAATTCTGATGTCGCTGTTTCAACAACCAGGTGGTCAACCTGACTTTTTGGACAGGGTCAGGGATAAAATCGTATGCCTCGAAAATGCCATGGTCAAAGACCCTATTGACCTGTCGATTGCCGGAACTGTGCGTGTAAGAAATCTCGATTTTAATAAGTCAGTTCACATCAGATACACTTTAGACGGTTGGAAAACCTTCGCTGACTTGCAGGCCACTTATGTTCCTAATTCTTGTGATGGATTCTCAGATAAATTTACGTTTCTCATATATGCTCACACGTTAGCGGTCGGACAACGCTTGGAGTTCGCCATCAGGTTTCATTGTAAAGGGTTTCAGTATTGGGATAACAATAATGGAGTCAATTATATTTTCCAATGCCTTCCCGGCAACAACGTTTCGTTTACGCCGGAACTTTCGACGGAAGAAACGTGGGGTTCAAGTTTTTACTAGTAAGTATAACTTACATCATCGACCATATTTTACTTTCGTTCATTTCCAAGTTCAATCGATGAATTTATAAAAATTAATTCGGTGTTGTTTCAGCAATTTGGTATTTATCGTAAAGTATATGTGACCGGTTAAACCCATTTTTAGGACAAACTAGTTTTTTCTAGGCCAAACCAATTCACCCTTTAGGCGATACAAACCGGTTCGTCCTATGGCCGATAGGAAAAACTAGTTTAACCTGGCCTGAACTAGTTGAGCCTAATTTGAACTAGTACACTTTAGGATAAATTGGTTTGACCTAGTCTTTGTCAAAAATATTAGTAAAATAATATTTTTAAAACTATACAGTTTTGATTTAATTAATAAATGCATCGTGATTTTATTAGTTCGGGTGTTTTATTATTCCCTATTTATAGACTAGGTCAAACTAGTTTATCCTGAAGTGTACTTATTCATATTAGGCTTAACTAGTTCAGCTTAGATTAAACTAGTTTCTCTTATCGGCCATAGGACGAACTAGTTTAGCCTGGTTTGTACTTATCGCCTCAAGGATGAACTGGTTTGGCCTAGGAAAAACTAGTTTATCCTGATGTCATGTTTGACCGGTAAGATATACAAGGGAAACATCCCTCTAATCTTATGTGCATGCCACTGAGCTTAACCTAACCTATCCAAATCTAACCTACCCTAACACCTTGTATTTTAGTGGAGGTTGAATCAGTTGGGTAATAACTAATTATTGCATTACTGTGATTTAAGAAATGACTCATTTATGACATTTTCGTATGCATTTCTATTTGAATTTGTAACAGCATTTAACCTTTTGATTGATTTATTTATTTATTTATTACGGTTTGAAATACTTCATATTTCTCCCTGTTTTAAACCCACACGTAACGTATCAATTCAAAAATAAACTTCATTGATTGACCTTCTCATTTTGGCAATCACACATTCAGCAATCTGTTTTGTATTTTGTTATTGTTGAGCTTGCTATTTGCTTTTATTAGTACAATAATGGTTCATACCGTTTCGAATCTGCTTGGTTAACGTCAAGTGTCCCACTTTTCCTGGTTTTTGAAATTTTATTCTTGTTATTTTTGCATGCTGGGTTTACTTTGATGAATAATAAACATGGGTGGTCCAAAACTACATTATGTATATGTCACATTATTTACCATTTTTCAAATTACCCACCACTTGTTTGCCACTGCATCCGACGTCATCAACAGCTCATTTCGATTAATAAAATAATATTGGGAATATATCTCATTTACCGCTCTCGTAGGAAGAACAAAAAACGATGTATATTTTTGTTGCATTTATAAAATTCCTCCCTATTTAATTAATTTACTTATGCATCTGTACTTTTTTAATTAATTGCATTCTAATAAGAACATCCCCCGTCAAACATGGCTGCCGCTTTATGACGCGGCTAGCCGCAACTGTTTTAATTGTCCGCGCGGCTATGCGTAACGCACCCGGCAACCAATCTTAGACCATATTCTACTGGAGATGGTTTGCTGTGTGCGCAAAGAATGACAGCTAAAGAAAGAAAGGGAGAAAAGCGTGGGTAGTTGCTGATTGATTTGCACGCTGTAGGCTATTGACTGTTACTGTGTAGTCTGCGCAGTCCTTTTTCTGCGTAGGGTGCAGCCGGGTAGTAGCTACGCTGTTATAAATACCGCACAAATCAAACTACCTCCGGAAGTATATGCTCCGAAGCAACAACCGCTTCTAACTAATTTTTAGATTATTACAATTTACGTCTCTATAGGTGTTTAATTTTTTTGTACATAAATGTCACTTCTTGGCAGTGTCTTAATAAGAGTACAACATCAATTGTTAATTTAATAAAGATATTTTTAAATGTTGTCTTGTTCCAACTACAAAAACGTTTTATTGCAACATGGATGGAAATAAAAACTACCAGAAATAAATTACAATTCCTTTAAAATTCTGCGCCATTACATAATAAAATAGGTAATTAGATAGGGGGATGAATAAATTTTACACAAAAAAAGTATTGATTAATTATTGCAGCTTTCATTCGTCAAGTAGCCTATAATTGTGAATTAAAAGGATTAGGTGTATTACTTGTTTTCTGTAAAGTTTGTCATCCTGTACATTGGACAAACAAGAAGATCGTTTAAAAAACGTTTCTACTTGTCAATCACAATGAACATAATTTTCGTAAATTTTCAACTGTTAAAATTCGGTTTCAGTTACATTTTGAGCTCAATATAACGTACTATAATATAATTTCAGGGCAGTGGACTTTATTGACGTAACCAAACGACGAAATGGTAGGAAGGTTGTGCATTAGTGTCAGCTATGTCGATGTTGCCGCCAACTATGATAAATTATGTTATTCTTAGTGGGGATATTAAAACCATGACCAAAGAGGGCGCTGAATTGAGAATGAGTCATACAGACGTCCAGGATTATATAACCAGGTCGTTGGAGCAAAGAAGGAAGAAGGACGTATGCAGCAAGACCGACGCAATCGCGGTGGCCGTTATCGTAACTATTTCTGTCCTGTTTTTATATATTTATCGATAGCAATACGTTATAAATAAGAAGTATATTATTATATTTTATCTAATTGTTAGTATTAAAATGAAGAAAATAAAAAAACAAAAAGAAAGTGTTATAGACTGCAACGATATTTATGTAAATATTAATATAGGTTAGTAGAAAAATAATGTAATTATATTTTAAAATGTACATATTACATACTCCTAAATATTTCTTCATTAAAATACACATATCTGAGAGTTTTAATTTGTGGCAAGTTTTAATATTCAGCTATCAACTAAATGAGACAGTATCAAGGACTAGGACTAGAAAAGGTTAATGCTTCATTAACATTCATATAACTACTGGGAACAAAAGGTATCTATCTACCAATTTTATTAGCAAACTGTCATACTTTTAAATGGGATAGTGTAAAGGACTAGGACAATAAGAGGTTAATGCATCATTAACCTCAGTACAATCACTAGCAGATCTAAGGGGGACTTTCCCTAAACCTTTTAGGAGATGTTTTGGGAACGATAGGTATCTATCTACTAATTTTATTAGCAAACTGTCTTACTATTAAATGGGATAATCTCAAGGACTAGGACAATAAGAGGTTAGTGCCTCATTAACATCAACACAATCACTAACAGATCTAGAGGGGAAGCCTAAAGTTATATTTACTGGCAAATTGTATTGGCACATACTTTTAAACGAGACGGTATCAAGGACTAGGACAATAAATGATTAATGTTTTATTAGCCCTAGTAAAATCACTGGTAGATCTAAGAGGGAAGGCTAAGGGGATGTCTTGGGAATGATAGGAACCTATTTATTCATTTCATTAGCGAATTGCTACGCTTTTAATTGGAATAGTATTAAGGACTGGGAAAATAAAAGGTTAATGCTTTATTAACTTCAGTACAATCACTAGCAGATCTAAGGGGGAAGGCTGAAGAGATGTCTTGGGAATGATAGGAACCTATTTATTCATTTCATTAGCGAATTGCTACGCTTTTAATTGGAATAGTATTAAGGACTGGGAAAATAAAAGGTTAATGCTTTATTAACTTCAGTACAATCACTAGCAGATCTAAGGGGGAAGGCTGAAGAGATGTCTTGGGAATGATAGCAACCTATTCATTCATTTCATTAGCGAATTGCCACGCTTTTAATTGGAATAGTATCAAGGACTAGGACAATAAATGATTAATGTTTTAATAGCCCTCGTAAAATCACTAGTAGATCTAAGGGGGAAGGCTAAGGGGATGTCTTGGGAATGATGGGGACCTATTTACTAATTTTATTAGCAGATTGCCACGCTTTTAACTGTTATATTATTAAGGACTAGGAAAATAATAGGTTAATGCTTTACTAACCTTAGTACAATCACTAGCAGATCTGAGGGGGAACCTAAAGTGATGTTTTCGAAATGATACCTAGGTACCTACCTACTAATTTTACTAGCAAATTGCTTTAGCCCATATTTTTAAGTAGGACAGTATGAAGGACTAAAAGTGAAGGTTAAGGAGCTTTAAATCCAAATTCGAAATGGCAAATCCAAGACAACGGTTTATCCAATTAAAAAAATTGTTTTATTAACCACTTACATGTACATATAACAACAAATATTAACTTGTAATTTGCTTAATATCTTGTTGGATTTCTTCCAACGTTTTGTTCTTTGTTTCGATAAATATGAAGGAAACTACGATAGTAAAACAAACCGTGCACAGTGTGAAGAACAAAAACGGAGCGTACAAACTAACATGTTCGGCAAGTTCTTGAAAAATTTTCGCCGTTAACATGATGGTGCTTGCGTATATGATGGTCACTAACAGAACAGCTTTGGGTTTGATGCTAGCGGAAAACATTTCACCAAGTAGCAATGCAGGCGTTGTGCACAGTCCGACAGAGAACATTGTAATGTAAGCTAACATAATTGCTAACGGCAGCCAACTCACTGCTGATGTATCCGTATTGTCATTGACAATTAAGTAAACGGTCATGCACAATAGAGTGACTATTGTTCCGTAACATGAGATCATGAGCAGAGGTCTACGTCCAAATCTGTCAATAAATCTGGATGATATGAATGCTCCGATTGCCATCAATGTCATGCAAGTTATAGATGAGATGTGACATGGCACGTCACCTCCGGCTTCTCGAAAGATGTACTGCAGATAAGTCATGAATGCGTTTATGCCGGAATATTGTTGCGCAAGTCTCACCACTGACGCTATGAGGAATGCTCTTCTATTACTCTTGCTGACGAATATGTCTTTGTAAGAACTCTTCTCAGACATTTGTCTCTTTACGGCTTGTTCGATTTCGTAGAACTCCTCGTCAACGTTCGTCCTCCACCGAAGGATTTGGAGATCCCTTTTGGCTTCTTCCAATCGATTCTTTTCAATCAACCAGTAAGGAGAATCCGGCATCCACACGAATGTTATTAAATGGAGGATTGAGAAACTGCTCATAATAAACGCAGCTGTCCGGATGGTCGTATAATATCCGACTGTATTCATTATAATTTGACCCACAAAGTAACTAACTGTTAAGAGACAACCTAAAGACCCCCGCAGTCGTTTCTCCGTTACTTCCGCCGCGTAAACCGGAAGCGTTGTGAATACTATGGCGCCTCCGCATCCTCCCAGTGCTCTGGAAGTGTAAAGCATTGTGGTATTCACCGCGAATCCTATCATGAGCCAGCTCGCGAATTGGGGAATGAACACTAATATCATATGCCTCTTACGTCCAAGTGTCTTTAGTAGAAATCCGCAAAGCGGACAGAAAATTATTATTGCGATCGGATGAATAATTGCGAAATAAGACGTTTCTTCAAACGTCATAGGAATGTCCGATTCGTTTGACATGAGCTTCAAGATTGAAGGNATGAAAGAAACTACGATAGTGAAGCAAACCGTCGAAAGTGCGAAAAACAAGAATGGAACAAACAATCCAAAATTGTCAGCAAGTATTTGAAATATTTTAGCTGAAGTCAGCAACGCAAATGCCAACATCATAATCTGAAGCAGAACAGCTTTGGATTTGATGCTGGCCGAGAATAACTCGCTAAGAAGCAACGTGGGTATCATACTGAGTCCTATAGAGTACAACGCGATGTAAGTTAACATAATTGCCAACGGGAACCAACTTACTGGGGATGTGTCGACATAGTCACTGACATACAAGTAAACGGCTTGACAGAAAAGGGTGATGATGCACCCATAAGCTGAGATCATGAAGAGGGGCTTGCGGCCAAATTTGTCAATAAATCTGGATGCTATGAATGTTCCAATTGCCGTAAGTGTCATACACAAGATAGATGAGACGTGACTTGGTATGTCACCGCCAGCTTCTTGAAAGATATACTGCATGTAAGTAAAATATGCTTTTATACCGGAAAATTGCTGCGCCAGTCTTGTCACTGATGCTATTAAGAACGCTCTTCTATTACACTTACTGACGAATATGTCTTTGTAAGAACTCCTCTCAGACATTTGTCTCTTTACAGCTTGTTCGATTTCATCGAATTCTTCGTCAACATTTGATCTCCATCGAAGGATTTGGAGCTCTCGTTTAGCTTCTTCCAACCGATTTTTCTCTATCAACCAATAAGGAGATTGCGGCATCCACACGAAAATTATCAAATGAGTAATTGAGAAACTACTCATGACAAATGCGGCTGTGTGTATGGTGAAGTAATATCCGATCGCGCTCATTATAATTTGTCCCACAAGGAAACCGATCATGAAAACAGAACCTAAAGATCCTCTCAGTCTTTTTTCTGATATTTCTGCTATATAAACTGGAACGGATATGTACATTAGGGCATCTCCGATTCCAGCCAATACTCTGGATGCATGAAGCATTAACGAATTCACCGCGAATCCTATCATGAGCCAGGTCGTGAATTGGGGAACGAACACTAGAATCATATGCCTCTTACGTCCAAGTATGTTCAGTAGAAATCCGCTAAGTGGACAGAAAATCATTATTGTAATCGGATGAATAATGGCGAAATAAGACGTTTCTTCAAACGTCATAGGAATGTCCGATTCGTTTGACATGAGCTTTAAGATTGAAGGAGACGGCCATGCATGAAGGGCACCGGTTTGAGCAATTGGAATGCACCCTAAAAATTAAATAGATCTCAGGAGGTTTAATAAAAATTCAAAATACGTGAAACTTTAAAAGAAATTCAGCAGTTATTAAAGGTAAAATCTTTACGTGTTATACATTGTCGTTCTGGCTAAAAATATTATCGATTTTTAAATCGTTTTGTATGTACTAAAAGTGAAATTTAAAACATTACTAACCTGTCAAAACAATAACGATTTGTGTCCATTTTTGATTCTGGTCTTTTGGTTCGATGTTTTTTGGAGGAAAGAAAATATTAATAGTCATGTCTTCATGCATAAAAAGCTTTTCTTCACAAACTGCTACTGAGCATTTCAGAAAATGACCTTGCTATATTGACAGATGCTTTACGAAAATAATTTTTATTTATTATCATATACACATATACATATATCATTCCACCTTTACCAGGTTCAGATTGGTATAACAGAAAATGGCAAATTTTAACTTGTGCTTCGCTTAAGTTCCTGCTGGATTTCTTCCAACGTTTTGTTCTTTGTTTCGATAAATATGAAGGAAACTACGATAGTGAAAAAGATCGTCGAAAGTGCGAAAAACAGAAATGGCGCATACAATCCGACATTGTCCGCAAGTACTTGGAATATTTTAGCCGACGACATCATGGCACACGCGAATATTACCATCACCAGGATAACAGCTTTGGATTTGATGCTCGCTGAGAATAACTCACCCAGAAGTAAAGTTGGTATTATACAGAATCCCACCGAAAATAGCATGATGTAAGCTAACATAATTGCTAACGGTAACCAACTTACTACCGACGTATCGATAATGTCGCTGATGTAGAAGTAGACGGCTTGAGACAACAGGGTGATGATCGATCCATAACATGAGATCATGAGGAGAGGCTTGCGGCCAAACTTGTCAATAAATCTGGATGCTATAAGAGCTCCGACAGCCGTCAACGCCATAGAAATTATAGATGAGACGTGACTTGGCACGTCACCACCAGCTTCTTGAAAGATGTACTGTAGATAAGTCATGAATGCGTTTATGCCGGAAAATTGTTGTGCAAGTCTCACCACTGACGCTATGAGGAATGCTCTTCTATTACTCTTGCTAACGAATATGTCTTTGTAAGAACTCTTTTCAGACATTTGTCTCTTTACAGCTTGTTCGATTTCGTAGAACTCCTCGTCAACGTTCGACCTCCACCGAAGGATTTGGAGCTCCCTTTGGATATGAGAACTGGAATGCACCCTAAAAATAAAATAAATCTTAGTAGGTCTATCTTATTTCTGAATGTGATACTTTAATAAGAAATTCAACAGTGAGATACTTATCTCTTATCTGTAAAATATATTTAATTCAACTACTATGAATGGTAGATAAATTGGCCCGAAATAATAACGAATTTTAAACCAAAAAATGAAATTATAATTACTAACCTGTCGTAATAACAACGACTTGTGTCCATTTCTGATTCTGGTCTTTTGGTTTGATGTTTTTTGAAGGAAAGAAGATATTAATTGTCATGTCTTCAAGTATAAAAGTGCTTCCCTTCTTAAACTGCCATTTAATCAACTATATCTGTACGTATTTAGTTGTAATTTTTAAACGCGATATTAGATCGTGTTTTATGTACGCTATTTTAGAAAATGAATCAGTTTTCTTGACACATTTTTATTAGAACACTTATTTTCAAAAAGAGCTTTTGTCCATAATCTCCGCGTAGCCTTGCGGCTAACGTAATTCAATAAGTTTTATGCAATTTTCCGTTTTTAGTCAAAAACTGGATAAACGCAACCTCATCCTTGCTAAAAAAACTTTTTTTTTCATTTTAATTTTACAATGCGCTGATATTTAACAGAAATTAAATAATTATTGCTTTCGATTAGAAGACGAAATTAGACATAATGGTTATAACTCGAAGATGATGATAAGGTACACCAAAAATTGAATGACCCGTCAGAACATGCGTCAGATGCCACGACACATTGATTTTCTACAATTGTTCTACAATCTAACTTACAGTTGCATCAATAATTCGTTTGCTAGCACTATATTGAGATCATTATTATATTCATTAATTTGCTTATAAACTGCAATTTTGAATCTTTTTTAAATGGTGCAGAAGCGCATTTGATAAAGCTACACAGTTCATCAAGCATTTACCGAAGATCAAACTTTCTACTTTTTAAATAACGTTTATTTATGACTTAATGATGTAAAAATATTATGGGTACATAATCGAAGGTAATCAACTCGTCGTTCGCATAAGTTCTTGCTGTATTTCTTCCAACGTTTTGTTCTTTGTTTCGATAAATATGAAAGAAACTGCAATAGTGAAGCAAGCTGCCGAAAGTGCGAAAAACAAGAATGGAACAAACAATCCAAAATTGTCGGCAAGTACTTGAAATATTTTGGTTGCAGTCATCAACGCAAATGCGAATATCATAATCTGAAGCAGAACAGCTTTGGATTTGATGCTGGCCGAGAATAACTCGCTAAGAAGCAACGTGGGTATTATGCAGCATCCCACAGCGTACAACGCGATGTAAGCTAACATAATCGCCAACGGGAACCAACTTACTGGGGATGTGTCGACATAGTCACTGACATACAAGTAAACGGCTTGACAGAAAAGGGTGATGGTGCATCCATAAGCTGAGATCGTGAAGAGGGGCTTGCGGCCGAATTTGTCAATAAATCTGGATGCTATGAATGTTCCAATTGTCGTCAGTGTCGTACACAATATAGTTGAGACGTGACTTGGTATGTCACCGCCAGCTTCTTGAAAGATGTACTGCATGTAAGTAAAATATGCTTTTATACCGGAATATTGCTGCGTCAGTCTTGTCAGTGTTGCTATTAAGAACGCTTTTCTGTTACTCTTACTGACGAATATGTCTTTGTAGGAACTCTTCTCCGCCATTTGTCTCTTTACAGCTTGTTCGATTTCATCGAATTCTTCGTCAACATTTGATCTCCATCGAAGGATTTGGAGCTCTCGTTTAGCTTCTTCTAACCGATTTTTCTCTATTAACCAATAAGGAGATTGCGGCATCCACCCGAAAATTATCAAATGAGTAATTGAGAAACTACTCATGACAAATGCGGCCGTGTGTATGGTGAAGTAATATCCGATCGCGTTCATTGTAATTTGTCCCACAAGGAAACTGATCATGAAAGCAGAACCTAAAGATCCTCTCAGTCTTTTTTCTGTTATTTCTGCTATATAAACTGGAAGGGATATGTATATTAGGGCATCTCCGATTCCTGCCAATACTCTGGATGCATGAAGCATTAACGAATTCGCCGCGAATCCTATCATGAGCCAGGTCGTGAATTGGGGAACGGACACTAGAATTATATGCCTTTTACGTCCAATTATGTTTAGTAGAAATCCGCTGAGTGGACAGAAAATCATTATTGTAATCGGATGAATAATGGCGAAATAAGACGTTTCTTCAAACGTCATAGGAATGTCCGATTCGTTTGACATGAGCTTTAAGATTGAAGGAGACGGCCATGCATGAAGGGCACCGGTTTGAGCAATTGGAATGCACCCTAAAAATTAAATAGATCTCAGGAGGTTTAATAAAAATTCAAAATACGTGAAACTTTAAAAGAAATTCAGCAGTTATTAAAGGTAAAATCTTTACGTGTTATACATTGTCGTTCTGGCTAAAAATATTATCGATTTTTAAATCGTTTTGTATGTACTAAAAGTGAAATTTAAAACATTACTAACCTGTCAAAACAATAACGATTTGTGTCCATTTTTGATTCTGGTCTTTTGGTTCGATGTTTTTTGGAGGAAAGAAAATATTAATAGTCATGTCTTCATGCATAAAAAGCTTTTCTTCACAAACTGCTACTGAGCATTTCAGAAAATGACCTTGCTATATTGACAGATGCTTTACGAAAATAATTTTTATTTATTATCATATACACATATACATATATCATTCCACCTTTACCAGGTTCAGATTGGTATAACAGAAAATGGCAAATTTTAACTTGTGCTTCGCTTAAGTTCCTGCTGGATTTCTTCCAACGTTTTGTTCTTTGTTTCGATAAATATGAAGGAAACTACGATAGTGAAAAAGATCGTCGAAAGTGCGAAAAACAGAAATGGCGCATACAATCCGACATTGTCCGCAAGTACTTGGAATATTTTAGCCGACGACATCATGGCACACGCGAATATTACCATCACCAGGATAACAGCTTTGGATTTGATGCTCGCTGAGAATAACTCACCCAGAAGTAAAGTTGGTATTATACAGAATCCCACCGAAAATAGCATGATGTAAGCTAACATAATTGCTAACGGTAACCAACTTACTACCGACGTATCGATAATGTCGCTGATGTAGAAGTAGACGGCTTGAGACAACAGGGTGATGATCGATCCATAACATGAGATCATGAGGAGAGGCTTGCGGCCAAACTTGTCAATAAATCTGGATGCTATAAGAGCTCCGACAGCCGTCAACGCCATAGAAATTATAGATGAGACGTGACTTGGCACGTCACCACCAGCTTCTTGAAAGATGTACTGTAGATAAGTCATGAATGCGTTTATGCCGGAAAATTGTTGTGCAAGTCTCACCACTGACGCTATGAGGAATGCTCTTCTATTACTCTTGCTAACGAATATGTCTTTGTAAGAACTCTTTTCAGACATTTGTCTCTTTACAGCTTGTTCGATTTCGTAGAACTCCTCGTCAACGTTCGACCTCCACCGAAGGATTTGGAGCTCCCTTTTGGCTTGTTCCAATCGATTCTTTTCGATCAACCAGTAAGGAGATTCCGGCATCCACACAAATAATAATAAATGGATAATCGAAAAACTGCTCATGATAAATGCAGCGGTCCGTATGGACAAGTAGTATCCGATCGTGTTCATTATGATTTGGCCCAGAAAGAAACTGATCATGAGAACGCAACCTAAAGGCCCTCTCAGTCTTTTTTCCGTTATTTCTGCTATATAAACTGGAAGTGCGATGAATATTATGGCGTCTCCGAAACCAACAAAAACTCTAGCCGCGTGAAGCATTATGGAATTTACGCTGAATCCGACCAGCAGCCAGCTTGCGAATTGGGGAACGAACACTAGAACCATGAACCATTTACGTCCCAGTGTGTTCAGTAGAAATCCGCAAAAAGGACAGAGAATTATTATTGCAATTGGGTGGATAACGGCGAAGTAAGATGCTTCTTCGAATGTCATGGGGATATGGGATTCGTTTGACATTAGTTTCGGAATCGAAGGAGATGGCCACGATTGGAGGGCACCGGAGATAATCATTGGAATCGTTGCTGAAAATACACATTAGTTTGAGATGGATTAGTCGGAACGTTTTTGACAATTGAAAAAGTAGAAAAAGCGAGGCATTGATGTGAAATCCAGTACTCATGTTATGTCTAAAATCGGTAAAGACTTTCGCAGTCACCTCGTGAACTGATGATGTCCTTATTCCAGTCGTTGTAGGAAGGAACTTTGAAGAAGTTTACCATTCGTTGTTAGCGAAACGTTAGGAAGCAACTCCAATCAACGACCAGAACCAAGACAGTATCAGTTTCTTTTATTTTTCGACTATAATTTGTCCGAAATTTTGATTAAAACTGCCCAAAAAATACTGACCTGTCGTTACAACAATAACTTGTGTCCATTTCTGGTTCTCGTTCGTCTGTTCGATATTTTTTGGAGAAGAGAAAATTTTGATTGTCATGCTTTCGAGATTAGAAAATCCTTCTTAAAATTTGCGCGTAACTGAATGTGTTAACAGGTACACGCCACGGGATGTATCACAATAGCACTGTTGCACCTTATCTTAACAAAATATAACACGTTGCTTATTTGAATTATTCACGTCATATTTTATTAATGTGCACATCATTATTGTTATTTGTTAGGTATTATGTTTATGTACATAAGTTTATACTACAGCAACGCGCAGAACTATAACTGTAGATAGTTCAAATGAAGTGCGTTTTACCTCAAAATCATAAACCAGCTGATTCCTACCGGTCTTAAATAACAGAAGCTGTCCCCACCAAGAGAATTTGTTGTATTTTTTTATCAGTTGATAACATTATGTGAAAGAGGTCATAGAAGACGTAATTCTGTAGATAACTATATAATTTAATCCAAAAATTTTCGCAATCTACAGTTTGAAGATGCTATGTGTGCGGAACATTGTTGCCGTTTTATGGCACTGGTATTCTATAAGAATAAAGTTCTGTAGATTGATAACCATTATTGGCATTGAACCGTATCCATGATTAAATTTCAGAAATGAACATCAATTTCCAATTAATTATTATTATGTAACAAAACGTTAATGTGTTTCGAGTAAATAAATAGTTCGAAATATCATAATGACTTCTTGGGAAACGAAATTCATTAATAGTACAAATTATGTAGGTTTATTCACTCAACTTTTAATATAATTTATTTATATGTAGGATCAGTCGGTTATCTTTTCATCAGTTGGTGACCTTGAACGTGGCCTTGACAATGGGCTTCAAGATGATTCGCAGATCAAAATGGAATGCGTAATTTTGATCTCAGCAATAGATAGAGAGGGATATGTTGCAAATGGAAATATCTAATAATAAAAGATGTTTTGAGTATAGTAAATGATCTCGAAGTTTAAGTTCAAGGTAGCATCCAAGGCCGCCAATAGATTTCCGCTTTGAAGGATTACAGCCTTTGTCATAAACGCTTTATAAAGTCATGAGATTCAATCTCAATACTTCGTTGTGTCAAAATAAAAATACAATAGTCATAATAAATACTTTATTTAAATTACAAAAAAGAAATTATTTTATCTGTGTCTTCTTAATATGTACTTGTAGTTTAAATAGTTAACTTGAATGTTCGTGGAACGTCACGAAATGTATACTTCTAGATCCACCATTTTTTATCAAATGTAACTATACTTCGAATAGCGTTTTCTAATGCATTCAATTGTCCAGGTCATTTCCATAATTATTATCTCTTGCCTTTTAACATGGTCTGTATCTCGTCCAGGGTTTTGTTTTTCGTTTCTATAAAAGTGTAATAAACTACCACTGTCATAATTGTCGTGCAAATGGCAAAGAACAAGAACGGGGAATAAAGTCCGAAATTGTCTACCATAACCTGGAATATTTTTGTGGTGGACATTCTTACAGCCCCGTGAGTTACCGTGACAACTAGCCCAGCTTTGCACTTCATATGGACCGAAAATAATTCACCCAAAGTGATGTTAGGTATCATGGCGAAGCCTACGGATTGCGCTGTGATGTACAACAACATGAACATTAGAGGCAACCAGTCGATTATGAAAATATGGTAAGAGAGCTTTAAATGAAAGATTAAAGCTATAGAGAACAACAGGATGGAGCATCCAGTACCAGATAGTAACATTAAAGGCCTTCTGCCGTATCTGTCTATGATGAAGGCAACATTTAGGGATGCTATTCCAGATACCACTGCACATATGGACGCTGAAACGTGTCGTGGGATGTTTCCACCGGATTCATCAAAGATGAACTGCATGAAACCGTTCATTGCTGAGAATCCCGATAATTGTTGAGCAATCCTTACTACCAAGGTAATGATTAGAGCCTTCCTGTTGTATTTGACGGTAAACAGATCTTTATAAGAGCCTTTTTCGACACATTGCTTCTGCACGGCTTCTGAAATTTCGGCGAATTCTTTGTCGACATCGTCTCTCCATCTCAGAAGTTGCAACTGCTGTCTCGCTTCGTCTGGACGGTTCCTTTGTATCAACCAGTAAGGCGATTCTGGCATCAGTGCAAAAATTAAAAAGTGTACCAAACAAGCAATGGCCATAATCATGGCTGTTGATGGAATAGTGAGATAATATCCAATGATGTTGATGGTAAGCGTTCCCAGGGAGAAGCAGACTGTCAACAAAATTCCCAGACGACCTCTAATGTGTTTTTCGGTCGTTTCAGCAACGTAATAGGGAAGTGAAAAGAGCATGAACGAGTCCGATATTCCTGATATAATCCTCGACGTGTAAAGCATAGCGGTGTTCTTTCCGAAAACGATGAATAACCATGAGATCAGTTGCGACATAGAAACGACGTATGACGTTTTCTTCCGACCTATGACATCTCCAACGAAAGCTCCTACGAAGCTGAATATTATCATACTCAGTGATTTCAGAATTCCAAAATTAGCGGTCTCTTCGAACGTCATCGGGATGTATGAATCACTTTGAATCAGTTTTGGTATTGATGGAGACATCCAGCAGGACGACACACCAATAAAGAATGCGTATAAGGAAACTGTAACAAAGAATAGAATAGGTTGAAATTTACAAAGTTGGAATACGGGGGGGAAGTCCAACAGTAAGTCCAACAGTACAGCACGGGGAGATTGTCAGTAATGCTCAATACTTCAACTGCAGTGGAGGTACTAAAAATACTTTGAAAATCTTATTGGTCTACAATGGTACAGCTAAATCTAGATCATAATATTTGACAGATGAATGCAGCGTACGTCTTGGTTTAGTTTGCTAAGTCTTGGTTTTATTCGTTAATTGTTGATCTCGTTTTTTTTTGCATTGGAATGCTTTTGGTCTTGCCGTTTGACTCAGTGGCCTAGTATCGTTTCTGTAAACTTATAGATGATGCCAAATTGAAATTCTATAAATAATCTTTTAATAAGAAGAGGTCTTTACTGGTATGCAAGGAAAGTAAAAGTGGGGAAAGAGCGATATGTAGGGGATGAAAGATTAGAAGATGTGGATGATTTTAGGTGTCTAGGAAGTCAGATACGTCAGGACGGAAGGAGTAGTAGTGATATAAAACAGAGGACACCGAAGGTCGATTTGCCTTCAATAAAAAGTCACCTATGCTCTTGAATGATTGATTTAAAAATTCGGAAAACAACAAAGCGCTGCAGGAGTACGAAACATGGACGATGGACGCGGCGGAAAAGAAAATGTTAGAAGTCTTCGAAATCTGGTGTTATAGGCGAATGATGAGGATACTGTGGATAGAAAAGGTTATAAATGAAGAGGTATTAGAAAGAATAGGAGAACAGAGGATTCTATGGAAGTCAATAAAAAATAGGCGAGATAGGTTGGTAGGACACCTTCTCATTCATGAAGGTCTAGTCAGAGACGTATTAGAAGCAGATAGGGATAAACCAAGATTAGATTACTGTTCGCAAATCGTTAAGGATGTGGGATGTTTTAGTTTTATGGAAATGCGAAGATTAGCTCAGGGTAGGTAAGAGTGGAGTTGCGTGTCCAATCAGTCTTATGATTATGACGATGATGAAGAATATGTCTTAGAATAACAATGCTTAGTTAGCACATTGACATTCATTCTGAAACCTTACAGATACGAATCTTTGCAAGATGATAAAAAAATGAATGTTCAAATCTTTACCAAACTTTCTCTGTAACATTACATTGGAGAAGTCCGGTTACACCTCGAAATTATTCGGTTCTCATAAAGAGCTCTAATTAATTTAATAACCATTTAGGTAGTGATCCTGAAATTTTGTAAGAACTTGCTATTACCATAGTGTCAGCAAAATCTCTTTGTTATTTTTCCATGGTGTCAACATACTTAAGTAAGACGTACATGTAATAAATCTAACGTGTTTATACGAGGATTACACCTTTTTATAGGTCGCCACGTTTAAAAGTTTCCATTAAAAGGAACTACTAAAACTACAGTCAATTGTATTGTGCAAGTTCATGTTTACAATTACTTTGATCCTTAATTAAAACAAAAATAGTTTACTTACTGGTAACGGCTGCCAATACTTGCGGCCATTGCTGATTCACGTCGCGTCCCAGTGTTATCCTATTGAGGAAGAGTCCAGGATTTACCATGTCTGCAAGTTTGTCACGAGAACGTACATCTACCTATTTCGGGTATATATTTATGTAAATGATCTCTCTGGAGATTGTAATTAGAAGTAATTTATATATTTTTTTCGGGATTGTTTACATTCTGATACGTTTTTTGGTATGATGTGATTTATTAGCGTCCATGTTTACTGAAATTTATTTGCACTCAGAGGTAGCTACCCATTGTAAAAACAGAGTTTCACGAAGGTAAATACTGCGCAAATGACATTCATGCTGTAGTTCATATCAATAATTAAATATCTACCTGAACGTCATGTTGTTTCGTAACTTTCGTAATTAGAAATGTCGTGGAATATTGCGCAAATCGTTTTTGAAAAATTACTTATTACGTTCTTGTTGAAAATTGTGTGATATATACAAAATACCGAGTTTTGTCCATTTATCACAAAAGTACACTAATTTTTATATATTTCAGCCATGTGTTATCTAGACGTAGAGTCAAAGAACACTTACCTCCGAGGACATTCTTGTCGATTTCTTTTTCCAAACAGTGGTGTTAAAATCCAGTGAAGCAAATTAAAAATTTAAAATGGCAAAAAAGTTTTATTCCAAGAAAAGTATATATTAAAGTAACTTCAAATAGTTTAACCCATAAATATGCTGGAAGTAGCAATATTCCGTTTACTCTTACATATCTCGTCTTGGTCTCGGTTTTAGTCTTGTTCTTGTTCGTACGATCTTGGTTTTGGTTTTGACCTTGTTCATTGGCTCTTGGTTTTATCCTAGCTTGTATAATGATAGTATTGATCTTGGTCCTGCGGTCATAGTCTAGTCCTGCGAAAAATATGATGGTCCTGCTTGTCCGCAGGACCAAGATTATGACTGTAAGGCAAGGACAAATTTTTTTCATCACTTATTCGGTGTCATTTGATGTGAGACATGTTTAGAAACGATTCTATTCTGCGTTACGTGGTAACACTTTGGATTTTGCTTCAAATCATTTATTAAAAAAGAGAAAATAGTATAATAACAATATTACAGCAACATCACAGTTCATTAAAATGCCACAGTCCTATTGGTTACAACCCTAATGGTCATGTCTTAAAATGATTTGTATTTCGTCTAAAGTTTTATTTTTGGTTTCGACAAAGATACAGTAAAGTATAAGGGTGAAAACTAAACACGTGCTTCCAAAAACCAAAAAAGGAGAATAAAGCCCAACGTTGTCTACCATCACTTGAAACGTTTTCGCCGTAAAAATTTTCATAGAACCGTGCGTCACATTAATGATCAAACCCGCTTTGCATTTCACATGGGCAGAAAATAGCTCACCCATTGTAAGACTAGGTATCATGGCGAGACCCATGGATTGAGTTATTATGTACGTTATCATGAACAGCAGGGGTAGCCAATCGGCTATGTGAACATTATACGAGAATTTAAAGTAAAACAATAGAGATATAGCAAATAAAATGGTCGAAGTCAAGCCACTTGATATTAGTATCAGAGGCCTACGTCCGTATCTATCGATAATCAACGTTACGCCAAGACAAGTTGCACCTGATACTAGTGCGCAAATGGAGGCCGAAACGTGTCTTTCAATACCACCTCCGGCTTGTGCAAATATCAATTGAAGGAAATTGTTGACAGCCGAATATCCGGACGACTGTTGTGCCACCCTGGTCGCCAGTGTTATTATAAGAGCCTTCCTGTTACACTCGTCCATGAACAACTCCTTGTAAGAACCCTTGACGACCGACTGTTTCCGCACAGCTTCCGAAATTTCGGCGAACTCCTTATCGACATCTTCTCTCCATCGCAACAATTGCAGTTGTTGTCGAGCTTCATCCGAACGATTCCTTTGGACCAACCAGTAAGGAGATTCGGGCATGAAAATGAAAATGGAAAAATGGAGTATGGTCACAGCTGCCATGACGAATGCAGCCGATGGTATACTCAAGTAATAACCGACGACGTTTATGAAAAGAACTCCAACGGAGAAAGACAAGGTTATCAAGATCCCCATGCGACCTCTTATGTGCTTCTCAGTTGTTTCCGAGATGTAGTACGGGGTCGAGAAGAGAAAAAATGCATCGGTTATCCCGGTAAGGATTCTGGAAACGTGAAGCACGTAGACGTTTCGGGCAAAACCGACCGAAAGCCACGATGCCAGCTGTAATAGTGAGACGAGATAACAGGTCCGTTTTCGTCCCATGATATCACCGATCGACGCTCCAACAAAACTGAAGACGATCATTGCCGCTGACTGGAAGATCGCAAAGTAGGCAGTCTCCTCAAACGTCATGGGGATGTAAGAATCGGCTGAAATTAATTTTGGCACCGATGGGGACATCCAACTTGACTGAACACCGATGAGGAATGCATACCATGAAACTGAAAGAAATTAAAAGTTGTTCTTGATTTACTGTTTAATAGTAAGGAAACTACAAACAAGGAGTTAGGAGTTAGAAGGTTTTGAGTATGGAAGATGCTTATTAGGAACGGAATTTACACCCTTATCGAAAGTATAGGGTTGTTCGGAAAGTCATTTCGTTTTTTCCCGACAGAGGATTTAATTGTATTCTTTTGCACCCAACTTCACATTTAAGCCGTATAATTTTTATCTGCGATTCGCTTCTCAAACGTCACGAAAATGATCCGTTTTTGAAGCGCATCATCACGAGGGACGAAAAATGGGTTGTATACAACAACGTCAAACGCAAGAGGTCATGGAGCAAAAAAGATGAACCGGCTCAAACCATTTCCAAAGCGATATTCACCAAAAAAAGGTGATGCTGTCTGTTTGCTGGGATTTTAAAGGAATCGTTCTTTTTGAGCTTTTACCGGAAAACACAACGATTAATTCGGAAGTCTACTGTCATCAGCTGGACAAACTGAATGATGCACTTCAACAGAAAAGGTCAGAACTAATCAACAGGAAAGGTGTAGTGTTTCACCAAGACAACGCGAGACCTCACACAAGTTTGGTCACT